CAACCCGCTTCTTTATATTTATTCAATGCAATTTGCGCCATTCCAATAATTTCAAAGTTTTTTGTTTTGTGCTTTTTTGGTTGTTTTTCGACAATTATCGAATTCTGTTTGCTTTAAATAAATGTATTTATTCATAAAAATAGAGAAATCACAAGTAAAATAATGGGTTTTTAATTTAATTGTAATATTAAATAATTTTGAAGTTTTTTGAACTGGATCTAATTTTTAATTCCTCAAAAACAATTTGAATTCACTCCTTTCAGTTATAAAACATTTAATTTTATTGAATTAATTTAACTCATTTAATTGATTTAAAAATTCAATATTTATAAGTCATTATAAATTTGAATAATAAATAAGTTTTATTGTGATTATAATATTCTTTTTGTACTTCTTTCTTTTAAATAAGATGTTATTTTTCCTCTTCGCCTTAAAAAAGAAGTACAAAAAGAATACCAAATAAAACCATTTAAATTGTTTGAGTATCTATTTTTAAGTTGTTAACCATAAAAAAACACAATAATACATTGTAGTTTTGATATTATCTATTGAATATTTTGTTGAACTTTAAAGAATTATTGTTTGTAATTTACTTATAGAGTCAGTCGTTGAACGTTATCTGGTGGACATATAGCTTTAATTTTGTCTAAACATCGGGCATTGGGAAAAACGTGAAAAAACCCGAAACAATTAAGATGGTTTTTTATGAAGGCTTCCCAAAACATTTTAATCTTTATGGTCCAAAATATACCAGATAACGTTAAAAGACAGAGTGTATTAATGTTACATTTTGTTGTTTTAATTGTTAACCATGATAGGGAAAAAAATAAAATGTATAACATTATGACGATAAAGTTGGTAATATTTTTATTACGTATTGTTTATATAAACATATTCTACCAATATGATTTTTAAAACCATATGAAATTTTGTACAACAACAAATTGTTGGCTTTTAAAAACAAACATTTTTAGGGGCAGACCTTTCCCACCCTCACCCCGTTTACCAAAATAAAATATTTGCCGCGAGTGTTTTTTGAAGGGAATCCACTTTTCAGCCACTGTTTGTGCGTCCCCATGTCACCCACTTTCCTTTTCCGTACTGTGTGGACGCGGATGTGGTACCCCCGCTTGCGGGGGGGATCCGCGCCAAGGGAGGACTTGGAAAGTGGGTGAAACGGTGCACAAACAGACTGTTTGAGTGCGGCCTTTAGAGCCTTCTTTTCAATGCTCCGTCTCACTCGGTTTCCACTAAATCAAGGTGAATTTTCGGCATTTCCTGAATTCAGGAACCAGACCTAATATTATCCAAAACGCCCATTTACTATAATTATAATTAAAAAATTATAAAATATAGTAAATTAATTCTATATTTAGACGGGGTGAGGGTGGGAAAGGTCTGCCCCACATTTTTATATACTTTGTTATTGTTCATCAATTATATCTTGTTATTTTTCAATGTTATCTATATTATATAATCAATTGTTAGAAAATATAATTATTAATTATTAATATATCTTTTATTTCTTCAAAATGAACATTTTCATAATCTTCTTAACCACACTTTGTATTTTTGAAAAGTTACAACTTTTTAAATCAATTTTATTATTTTTGTAAATGTATTTTACTTTAAGACATTGGATAAAAGTATACGTTCACTTTTTTATTGTAATGTATCATCTTTTTTGAAACTTGTCAATATTAATAACATTATCTGTTATTTTGATTGTAATAACAAAAAAAAGAACTGAAATTTATTCAATTGGTTTTATAGCTAAAAACTATTATAATACCCAATTAATTTAAAGTGTGAATTTATAAACAACAATTGTAATATTTATCAATTTTAAAACGAATATCATGTCATTGAAAATAAAAGTTTTTTACCATTACAGTCAAGATAAAAAGTCAGATGCTGAGAAAAAGTGGGATGCCAATCTAAATATTAATTAATTTAATATTATTAATAATAAATAACTAATATAAATCTATTTAGGTTTTTTCATTTTATTAATTTTTTGATTAATAATTTATATTAAAAATAATAGTAATTTTATTATTTTCAATTGAAATTAACCAATAGTTACGAGCATCCTCCTTTTTCGAGCATCCCCATATTTCCTTTACTGTATAAAGTTTATAATTCAAATAAAAAAATAAAGTCTGGATAAAACAATGAAAATAGATCATGTTTTTAATTTGTAATTATTCTTAATTAAAAAAAATAACACTAATAAAATATCATTACTGTTTTTTTATAATCATCAATTTTAATTAAAGTGTCCAAAATTTTGAAGATAAATCAAAAGTTAAGAATTTATATCAATAATCCCTTTTTTATAAATGTTTTTATAGTAAAATATAAAACAAAATGTTCATTCATAATTGATTATAAATTTGAACACTCTACTTTATAAATTCTTATAGTTTCCAACTTTAATTTTTAAATTGATATTGGAATAAAAGTTTCAATTTCTTAAAATTTTTATTCCATTTTCTTTTCAATATTTATTTAATAAATAAATAATTTTCATTCGTATTAACGATTTGTTTTTTAGTAACATTTTGGGTAAAACAATCTTCAATAAATGATTTTAACCAATTTTTTGTTATTTTTGTTATATTTTATTAATTTTTTCTATAATATGTCATTTCTCTCTTCAAAAATGCATTAATGTAAAATTTTTTATCATGTTGGCTTTTTATTATAATGAAAAGTAATTAAACTTTAATTTATTTGTGATATTTTATAGTTTTTCTTTTGTAAACAAAGACATATATTTTGAAGAATAATGGTGTATTTAAAGTCTGTGATTAAAATTGAATTGTTATTTGAAAAACATTAAAAAAGTTTAAATTAAATTTGAAAAATAGATGAAACCCGTCAGTTACTGGTTTTTAATGGCAAAATTGGAAAACATTTACAACCAAACACATTTCAAAAGTTATTTCAAAAAGATGTATATTGGCAAATATACATTATTATTACCAAAAATGAAAAATTATTCAATCAAAATGTGATATATGTTTTAATGATATCAATGCCACTAAAATTGTGAATAACAACCAACTCCTTCACCTTTCTGTGTTTGCTTAACCACCTCTTATCATCATACATAATGTGATAAAATGTCACATATAATATTAGTTTATATTAAAATACCTAATAGTAATCATTTTTATTCTAAACCTTAGTTTGGAACAATCATTTTTACGAACAACAAAAACACTAAACCAATGACATCAAAAATGCAAAATACTTATTTACGAAGAAAATATTAAAAATACCCCACATTGACAATTTAATTGTTTTTTTCAACACAACAAGGATTTAGCAAAACCCACCGAAAAGGGACTACATTTCTCGCAAATATATCAATATAAAAAGGTCAAAACTGTGGAAAGAAGAAATATTTTTTAAACTATTTAAGAACATCGTCGACTAAAAAATATAAAAAACAGATGTCAATCAATCGCGCTCTTTCCAAAAAGCATTGCCATGAAGAAGACAAGGAGAACCCATACAGCTTTTTCCAAGTAAGAAATTACCAGGCCCAACAAGAGGCGGTCTTTTTGACCATTCTCAATCAAGAGTATGATGTTGTGTTAGAAGTCCCTCAAAAGAAGAGTGTTATAGCATTGAGTTATTTTAGAGTCATTCGTTTAAAAAGTCCAGAAAGAAACATTGAATTTGGAAGTGAATTAAATTCACTTCTGGAGAAGATGTACTTTAACGACATGACTCTTGGAGTGACTGAAGGAACGGCATCAAGACGACTTGAAATTAATCGGATCTCAGAGTCCATACATAAATTGATTGAACTCATTGAACCCATTACTTTACTAAAAAAGTGTTTTATGGGGAAGAGAAATTCACGAGCGTCTGTTGTGGAGTTGTCTTTTGATGGCATCAACATGAAAAAAGATGATATTGAGAAGAAAGGGGAAAGAATAAACAAAGCAATAACATTAAGAATGAAAGGACTACAAAGAAAAGATGTCATTACATTGCCAAAACAAGATTTGGAACTTATGTCTCTCTTTTTCGTGTAGCAAATTGATCATGTACTTAAAATAATATTTTCGTTGTTATTTTTACAAATTAAATGTACTTATTATTAACATTGTCGTTAATAAATTAAACAAGAACTTAGTTAAAATGTTTTATAGCATTTGAATCCAAAATTTAAATTGACATTTAAATGTTAACAAATTGTTGGTAATAACATGAATTAATAATTGAAGAAAATTTTTAAAATTAATAAATTGAACAAAAACAACATCAAATTATATTCAACATTTGTTAGACTTTTTGGTTATTTCGTAAAAGTAAAAATAACTTTGTGTTTTGGATATAAAACATCGTCTTTATTGTTATAGCCATTCTCCAAATATAAACATGTCTAATGTCAAAAATGGATTTTGTGTGTAACAAATCTTATAAACATTAGTTCTTAAAACTATTTTGTTATTATAAAACAGATTAATTAAAATTAAACTATAAAAATATTAATAATTATGAAAATGTGGGATCTACTGTACATTACCTTCTTTGAAAGAAAAGACGACATCGGGGCGCCCTTTTGTGAGATAAGAAAGTATCACGCCCAACATTGCGCCACTTTCTGATTTCAAACTTGCGAATATCTTGTGCATGATGTCGATAATTTGTTGCTGACATATGAATGACATAGCACGAAGTTCTGTTTCCATGTGTTGTATTGCAATTTCGATGTCTTTGCTTTGCTCGACTTCCCTTCCGACTTGCAATGAGTTGTGTGTAATAACAAATAGTATAAAGTACTATAACTACAATAAAAATACTTAAACAAACGTTTTGAGAGGAGTGACACCACAACAACATCAAAATTGATGTTGTTGATATCCAAACACGCAGACAACGTGTCACTTGCGTAAACAGCACTATTCATGACTCGTACACACTTCCTCCCATCGAGTCCAGTGTATGTCAAAACACACTGAAATTGGTGTTTGATCTTCAGGACTTCATCGAAATGGGCGCACTCAAAAAGACACGCCACGTCATCCGTCAGAACTCCAATTTTGCCGCAATCGACTCGCTCGCCAATCGACGAGCCAAAGACCCCCAACACTTCCATTCCATCAGGGGTTCTTAATTTGACATGTCCGAGTACTCCCACAATGTTCTTCTTAATACTTTTGAGATAGTTCTCGTCGAATGTCTTAGCAAAGAAAGTGCTTCCATTTGTCAGTGTAGCCAAAGTGGTAGCAATTGGTATATTCAACTTCCTCAGCTCATTTCCTATGAAGTAGTTATTGATCATAATCCCATACTTCTGTGCATAATGTCCGATCTTTTGGAACTCGGAAATTTGTTTGATATCACCAAAGTCGAAGTATTGACTATTAACTCCGTGGAAACAGTCGACCACTCCATATTTTTGAATCATTTTCAGCGCATATAAAAGTGCTTGTTTATAGATGTACTTTCCATTGTACTTATTAAAAACAGGAAAGGTGTAATAATGACACCACTCCGCTATTTTCAGTGTTTTGCTTGGGTGTAAAAAAGTCGTTTTTTTACTCTCAAATGCAATGGATTCCTCTTCACTCTCAAGTTGGCTATAAGACGACAATTCCACGTTGCAGAGGACAAACTCGTAATAACTCTTCTTGTTCTTCTGTATGACGGATATTTGATCAGAACACAGAACAAGAAGAAACGGCTCTGTGATCGTTTTGATGTATTGCCCAATAGAACTCAAAACAGTGTTATCGCATATGACGACTCTTCGAAAGACAAAATCCCGTTCATCGACTCCGCAGACGTATTGCACTGTATTTTCCTCGAGCTCGGGGATCCTTTCTCTCCTTTGGTCTTTTTCTATAAATCGATTTTGTTGGTCTGGCACAAAGCTGTGACAAACGTGACAGAAATATCTTGTGTGTGGGCAGATCCAGTGTGTGACTGGGGAGAAGTACGCAGCGCAGTGTTGGCACTTTGGTATTTTCAAGAAGGGGATATAGACATTAGTGACGTCGTATAAAAATGGCCTAACCACTACACTCACTGGTACACCAATCCGTTTGACTATATCGTCGTTACCTGGGAGTACGTGGTAACTCGGCTGAATTTCCATCTTCTCGTCCATCAACCTATTTTTTGGAGTTCGACCTTGTGTTCTATACTACTATTGAAGTTATTAACATTTTTATTTACATTTCTGTTCTTTTAACTCAGACTCTTATATATAAACTATTTTGAATCTATTTAATAGTTAATAATTAATAGTTAATAATTAATAGTTAATAGTTAATAGTTAATAGTTAATAGTTAATAGTTAATAGTTAATAGTTAATAGTTAATAGTTAATAGTTAATAGTTAATAGTTAATAGTTAATAGTTAATAGTTAATAGTTAATAGTTAATTAATACAATTTTTTATTATTAATGTTTATAAGAGCCAGATTTCAAATTTCATAGAAAAAAATAAAAAAAAATATTTCTTCTCTAATAAAAATATCAAAAAAAAAAATTTACTCGTTAAATAAAACTCATTCAATTCAATGCTTTCTGTTCTCCTCTTTGAGAACAAACTCGACAGTCCTGACGTCGTCTTTAAACAGCAAAGTGTCTTCAAAAGCTATGTTAAGCTCTTTTAAAGTCTTTTCAGCGATTGTATTATAGCACTCAATTTCGTCCTTTTCTAACCCCTCATCAGACTCAAACAAAAGTCTCTCCCCGGTGAGAACAGTAGGATGTTCTAGTGAACACTCTTCTGTAACTTTTTGTATAATGTCTTTCAATTTTGTGTCGAGCTCTATCTCCAATGGAAGAATCTCGTTTCCGCACACAAAGCACTTCTTATTAGGTTCCGTGCACTTCTCGAATGTGAGCAAATGGTTTCTCATTGGTGTTTTAGCTAAGTAGACCATTCTCAATGCGTCATTATGTTTTCTCAGTATCTTCGCCATTTCGACCGCCATCAATCCCGAGATAATTGCGTTTGTCGTCGCAATAGCTGGAATGATGTTCCCCGCCTTCTCTTGCACTTCGAACTTCGAAATAGCCTTTAAGTTGAACACAAAACATCGGATGTTTGTTAATGAGGAGACAAAGTCGACCATCATCTCGTCGTCCTTTTCATATTCAAAGTCCCCAGACTTCTCCTTTCGCCTTTCAAGTTCGTCAAACTTCGTTTTGTATGTGAAGACTAAGTCAGCTAATGTGCTCTCATTCACCTTTGTTGCACATTTCGACATCTCATCGTAAGTCATCAAAAGAGGCTTCTTCTTCAATTTCCAGAGATCTTCACTCTCGCGAAGTACTTTGATGTCTTCATAAAATGCTTTCTCAAAGACCGCGCGCCACCTTTCAGTGGTGTTGTCGAAGTTAAAATCGTTTAAGTAATTCCCTTCGTCACTTTTACTGAACAACTTCTGGAAGAGCTGTTTCGCCCAAAAGACACAGTGGACGGCACTACTTGGATTTGTTCGAATGGTGCACACAGCGTATCCCTTTGGTGCGGTTTTGGGTTGACATTCATAGCATTCCGTGACTTTGGGAAGAATTGGGGTTGTTTGTCCCAAGAAAGCAGACGTCCCACCGTCGACCAAAGGGACATCAGAACACACGCACATGTGATTTACGTACTTTCTAGCTTGTAAATTATCAAGTGCGTTGATCACAACGTCGAACCGCTTATAAAAGGAGACGTCGAACTTCTTGTTTTGAATTTCGCAGTGATGTGAGATGACAGTGGCACGGGGGTTGTACCGACTCTTTGAGATCTCTGAAGCGACTTTTGCTTTACTCTGTCCTATGTGGGACTTGTTAAACAAAAACTGGCGGTTCAAATTTGAAAAATCGATGACGTCCAAGTCGATCACCTCAATATACTCTATTCCCATTAATAACACATTCTTTAATATCTCGCACCCAATACCACCAGCACCCACCAACAATACTTTTTTGTTATTGAACTCTGTGTTCATTTTACTTAATACTATTTTAATAGTTCTTTTTTATTTAAAAAGTTACTAATTTTCTTTTGTTTTTTTTAGTTTTATATTAGTAAGAAATAATTAAAAGAATAGTTAATTTATAAAACCATAAGTTTATTAAAAAATTTATTAAAAATTTTATAAATATTGTTTTTTAATATGTTGATTAATATTTTTATTAATAAATGATATTGGTGTTTTATCAATATTTTATTATTATTATGTCCTTTGTATGTGGTGAGTTTTTGAGACTAAAAAATGTGAACAAATAGTCTTATTAGATGTTCAATAAGCGTTTTCATTTTCGCTTACGATCAAAGGAGACTCGACTCTCCGTTCCAAACACTTTGACATATTCGCTCAAAGGACTTGATATTACTGTCACTTCTGAAAGGAGAGTTCCACAAGTCAGTAGTAGTATTTCTCAAGACATAGAACTAACAAATTCTTCAACTGAATCCAACCAAAATTCAATAGATGAACACAAGAAGCAAATGGCGACAACAGTTTCTGTGAAATTTTCATCTCTTGAGATCTGTGATGACGTCAAACCCATCTTTAAATTGGCTGGAGATGCTCCTTTTGACATGTCGATGGTAGTTGAGCAGTCTCTCTTAACATTTCATATCTGTCATCCATTGCTAGTTTTCATACCAAAAGATGTGAACAAGTTACATGAGTATTGGTCGAAAGTCATTCAATACTTTTCGCAGTACTTCACATCGCAACCAAAAACTATATTTACTATCAAATATTCTATTTCTCTCGGGACACTAATACTTGAGGATAATCAATCGAAAGGCGATTTAGTGTTTGAAGGCAACTTAAATGGTTTAGTCTACGTCGGTTCGGACCATAAACACCCACTCGAGACTCTTGAATTGGAGTTACACAATTTCCACATCTCTTCATCGAAAAACGAGGTGCTCAATCGAACAAATTTAACACTGAAAGTTACTAAGACGATTGGACGGAAACAGTTCGACGAGAATTATCAAGTCGATTTCACTACAAAACCAATTCAACTGAAGATCGGCGCGTTCGAATGCTTTTTAATGTCACACATCTTCGACCAACTCTCAACTGACATCCAACACTACTTCTTTAATAAACCTCTCCCCTTCCCACAACACACATCAAAGGTCTTCACACCAACAGACGCAGTGCAACAGACTATTAACTTACCAGTCATGTCTGCTCCAACACTGAAGAAGTATCATGTGATCATCCCAGCTATCACAGTGATCTTATCTTCGGATGTGAAGAACTTTTTGATCTCAGTGGACACCATTCATATGTCGGGGAAGACTAGTTCGATGACCGTCGACTTCGATTTCCTCCTCCAGTCGTTCAACGCGGACAAACAAAAGTTTGAGAACGTCATCGACAAGACCAAAATCAAGTGTGCGTGGATTAACACGTCGTGTCGAGTGATCACAAAAAAGGCGTTCAATGTGAACATCACGCCACATTTTTTAATCTCACTCTTCTCTCTGTCTAAAATGGTCAGAGACGTGAAACCAAAGAACTTCGACATCACCACTATCATCACCCCACAGAGAACGCCTCTCCCCATTATCAAAGGATTTGTCGTCTCCAATTGCTCCGGCTGTACCATCGAATTTGTCGTGAAAGATAGAAAGATCTTTGCAGAGAATGGACAAGACGTCGAGTTACCAGAAGGTCAAGATGTCGTGATGAAAATCGAAGGGTTTAATTCGGCGTCATTCACTATAGGTGGCGTCAAAAGAGTACTTGAACTCACAAGCCACGACACTGGGAAACCACTGGGATATGTCACTTTAGAACGAGTCTCAAATCGGCAGTTAAAAATCGTCTCTCCAATTTCAGTCTTTAATACAACATCCCAACGCATCGTCGTGTACTTCTCAACCCCTTCAATTAAGAACTTCTTAGTAAAAAAATTGCGACCGGAAGAAACCCTCTTTTTACAGCCCTTTTTTGCTCGAACGTACTTCTCCGTGGCGTGTGCGCCGGAAGGGGAAGTGCCACAAGAGAACAAAATCTGCACATTCCATATCCCTACAGAAGACGACACAATACACCCCGAGTGGGAACAAAGTATCACTAAACTCTATGGAAAGGCCCCCGTCGATATCATTATGATGTCACCTAAACTAGGGTTACCAACTAAGACCTTAGAAGGAAAGTACGTCAGAACAGTCACTTTTGTGGTCCAACACCCTTACGTCTTTAAGTCCAAATTACCAATCACTTTAGTCCTCGAGTTGGACGATATCAATAAGAACAAATTGGAGATACCGCCATTCGGTAAGACTACATATGCACACAACAATCAAAGACTCTCCGGTATCTTACGAATGACTGAAAATACCGTCGAGAACTTCGATATGGACAAAGCTGGTCTGTACGTCAATTCACAACCGTTCTACCTCTTCCCATCAAATTTGAGAGGGAAGAAAGTCATATTTAAATCGCCGTCGCATATCAGCGAAATGAACATCTCCTTTGTGGAATACGAAAACGCTCCCACAGAAGTCGTCTTCTTTGTGAATTACTTTGTGAGGAACTACACGTTACTACCACTTGCAGTGAATGACATTAAAATACCGACCGATGGCGCCGTTGTGCCGATTACCATTCCAAAAGTGATGAACCAAAAAGAAGCAAAAGCAGTGAAGAAGCTCCAAGACGAGAACGTCGAAAAGAACGTGAGAAAGAGGAAGCGGACTCAACCCACCCCGCGCAAGACTCCGGAGAACAGTGAGAGTAGTGACGATGACATTTCAAGTGATATCGACAAGGAAGTTGAAATTGGACATCTTTCATTGCGGTCGGAGAATTACTTGATGATCAGTAAACAAGTTGTCCTGTGCTTTGACAAGATTGGGGAAGTCACACTCGGGACTCCTCCCATTGATTTTGTGTATAATACGATAGCTGATGACACCCATGGGATTAAAGTGTGTGTAGTGAAGCAGAAGTACGTTGTGCAGAATTTGATGGTCCATCGTATGAAATTTTACTGTGCCCAATTTCCAAGTGGGACTGTGGTGTTACCGAAGTCGTATGTCCCCTGTAACGTGAGTGGGAAATTAAAGATCTCAGCAACTGTTGTTGTCAACGAAGAAGAGTACCAGAGTGAGGACTTTTCTATTTATAAAGCGATGAATTGCCAAATGATATTAACAGGGAAAGACGAGAAGTACATCTTTGTGAATATCAGTGTCACTGTAGTTAACAAAGAGTTCACTATTAGCTTTGATGGTGTCCAAAAGCCGAGTTTGTGTGTTCAGAACTTCACATCGTTTCCAATAACATTCGCGCAAGTGAACACGATCCACACATACACTATTCAACCAAACAAATCATTTCCTTTTGCGTGGACAAACCCTACACTGAAGCATTTAATACAAATGCATGACAAGGAAAACACTCTAATCAATCCATTAATATCTTCTACACAGCACACCCTTCAAATGTTCAATTCACTGAAGAAGAAACACGAATATGCGTATTCCTCTTTCGCTCTGAATAAGGGAACAACTTATATCAATTTTAATACCGTCAGTTTGTATGACCCCAAAATAGACTCGTTGCCTTTATATGACTTCTCTCTGGCTGTTCCGTCGTTTGGAGTCTCCGTGTTAGTCAACAGCATGGAGTTCTTACACTTCTCTGTATTTAACGTCCAAACTAAAGTCGTCCAAACCTTTTTACACACTCATTTGGAGTGTTCGGTGGACTATTTCCAAGCTGATTGTCAAGATGTGACTCTCTTAGAAAGTAAGCCCGTGATTATCTCGCCATCGCCATCGTCTTGGGTGTCTGACTCCAAGCAAAACTATTTCCACTTAGGCTGCAAATTACTTCGGATGGGGGTTGGAGAGATTTTGAATTACTCGTTACATGTCGTAGAGATCACAACGGCGCTCCAGACCACTGAAATTCAAATTGATCCTTCCTTCTTAGTACGTGCTTTAGAAGTGTATAATATCTACAAGAGTGTCTACTCTACTATTGAAACTGAGAAGAAAAAGAAAGACGGAACATCTGAAGTGGTCCAGGAGACCTTCTTTCTTCATATTGAGAGGTTTGTGTGTAACTCATTAGCATTCCATGTCACTATTAATCCAAGTGCAGTCAAGCCACCACCTTTATCGGAGTCTGCAACTACTTTGCACCACTTGACTCAAATGAACGCAGTCAAGAACGTCCCAATAGTCGTGCACAGATTCCACTCAAAGCCCGTCGAGACGTCTTTCAAAGACTTCGCGCGAGTGATCATCGAGTACTTCTCCAAAGAAATCAATTTCAAGTCCATAAAGCAGCAATGGGCAAGTGGGATAGTCGGATTGAATAACATACGACTCTCCTATGAAGTCGTCGATTACAAGACCTTTGAACGGTACACCATCCCCATCGACTTATTCACTGACGTCGAGAAGAAACTCCCCGACGAATTCAAGAACTCCCTTGAGAAGACTTTTTATAAGAGCATCGATCTTGGCGTCGATGCACTCAATGATGGGTTTGTCTCGGGTATTAAAGGCCTTTGGAGCACCCCCTCTACTATGTACCAGATGGCTAAAGAGAAGTCCGTCTTACTTGGCCCACTAGGATTTGTCGGTGGGATATTTGCGGGAGTAGCTGGAGTGGTAGTCAAGCCGATCGATGGAGTTGTAGGCTTTGTGCAAAATGTTGGGATGGGGATAAGTGGGGAGTCCTGTGGCTTTATAGCGGAGGATAGAGTCCGTTTTCCGTGGTATGTAGCTGGTGGGGATTACAATGAGAAAGATGCAGTGGGGTGGTCGTTCTTAGTCGAGTGCAATAAAGGAAGATATCACACTGCAAAGTACATCGATTGTGTTTTTAAGCAGCGAGAGAAAGGAATAGACACACTTGTAGTCACCGAGACTGCACTCTTTGTTATTTCTAAGAACTATGGGAGTCGGCCGGTGTGTACTTTTACGACATTTTTGTCGTCTTTTATTGGAATTGTGTCACACCCCACTCTCCTCAAAATATTTTACAAACTACGTGGCGTGCAGAACTCATTTGATTTAGTCGGGTGGACTACTGTTGAAGCCAACGCGTTAAGAAGCATTATAGAAAACTCAAAAGGACTTATAGCAGGACTGGATGTCGAGAATGTGTTACTTCCACCATCATACCACTAACCAATGGTCGTGGACAAATATAGAAATATTCAAATCTTTCATCGTGTTTCAGTGCTCTGCACATATAGAACATTTATAGTTAAATAAATTATTCGTTAAACTAGGAAAGTTTGGTGTAGTCTCTTGTATTTATATTACTTCATTTAGTTCATGTATAAGTAAATATTAGTTTCATGGAAGTAAAAAGGAACATAGAAAGTGGTTAACTGTGGAGTATCATACTTCCAAAATTTTATACAAATAATCCCGTTTTTTGCCTTTGTTTTGTATTTAATTTTTGACTTTTTAACACAATGAAATTTCAATGTGTATTGGTCTTTAATAACTGGACCTCAATCAAATCACTGATTTAATAAACCAACAAAAAACAAATTTTAATAAAAATAGTATAAATATTATAAATATACTATAAATATATGTTATTGATTAGATTTGCTTTTATATGCACGTTTTTGATATGCAAACAAAAGTGGACTATCCAAAAGAGGAGCAGTGAAACTAGAAAAGAGAATTGATGAACAAATATCTTGTGTTGTTTCTCTCAATAGTTTACGACCTGATTTATATCGTATTTACTGGAATCTTGGTAATAGTGTTTTCTGTTGTCCACGGCTTCCGCATGGAAGTCCCTGATCTCTCTGAGAACCCAAATGTGACGTACCCGTACATTCCACCAACATTTTCAACAGTAGTCGCTGGTATCGTCGCATACCTCCCCACCATCATTTTGATTTTAATTGTTGAACTCCGACGACTGAGCTTGAGACATTTGATATTCTCATTTTTGTCACTTGTCGCAGCCATTTTGACGGCATTCATGTTTGTCCAAGGCGGCAAAATATATGCTGGTCGACCACGTCCAAATATGTATGAGTTGGTCGCAAGAGGGGATGAAAGGGACGCTTGGAAGTCTTTCCCATCTGGGCATTCTGCTGCTTCTTTTAACGGGTTTGGTTATTTTTCGTTGTATGTAGCGGGGGAGTTGAGAGTATTTAGTGACAAGCCTGAGATGTGGAGACGTTTGTTATAATATTATAATATAATTATTACAATTATAATATTCACCGATTATAATAATATTATTAATATTTATACTATTAGTAGGAATTAATGAGACTCAAGTGTAGTTATTCCCGTTATTGTCCCATTTATCCTTGCAGGGATTATTGTGATATCAAGAACAAGAGACTATTATCATAACTTCAGTGATATAATTGCTGGGTCTATAATAGGACTCTTCTCGGCGATTATTGGATACTTCGCCAAATTTGCAAGTTTGACCTCGGCTAAGTCTGGTGATATCAAAGGACCGAAGTATGATGATGACCAAAAGGATGGGGATGTTGAACTGAAAGATGAGGAACTCCACCAAGACAACTAAATTAACTCTTCAAGAATACATTTTTTTACTCCAACACAAAATGATAAGAGATTATATTGCAGGGGATCCAACAGGCTTTGGGATGAGGGGTTTCTTGTTTTGAATGTCTTCGTCAGAGACATCATCTTCCGTCTCTGAATTTTGAGGTTGAGTGGGGCCTTTGTAAGGCTTAACAGTTAAGAAGTAAGTACATCCAATGATAGGATTGATCCACTAAAAGTTATTTCTATTTGAAGTCAATAGAGATAAGAAGTGTCATTTCTACGCCACTACTTTGTTAGAAAGACACTCTAACAAACCCAAAATACACAAAGGAGATATTGTGCAACTATGTTAGTTATGAAAGGTCTTAAAAAACATTGAGGAGAGCCCGAGTGGACTAGTGTGAGATTTTCCAAACAATAAGTGTATCCCTTCGAGACTGAAATTGTTTGAGTGACTGTTCCCCCCAATAGAACAAACGAAACGACACCGCCGAGGATGTATATCTATAATTGAGTCTATTGAATCGTATAATATAGTATTTAAATAGTATTGAATAGTATTGTATAGTATCATATAGTATTAATACAAACTCCAAAGGAATATGACGCCTTTTTGAAAAGGAAAGACGCAATTGCAGTTGCCAACAGAACGAAAAAAGACGAAGAAAGTGAAAGGTATCCGACGTACTCGAGAATCGGGTCATATCCACAACGATATTGAACTCCATCTGCTTCTATATGTTATAATTAATTAATTAATATAATTCATTTAAACTATTCATTGAAAGAAGAAACAAACTCAGTAAGAATGTGGGATACCACCCGATAGAATCACACGACGTTGAAGGGTTCGACCCACCAAACACCTTTATGTCACCTTTGAAATCTATAGAAAACAATTTATAAAGTACAAACAAACGTCTCTGTTCGAGACAGTCGAATATGGCTTGTCGTTGATCAATATGGAGAATGTCGCGATCGATATGAAGACTAGTAACTTCTTGTCAACACCCTTTGCTCCTTCATTTAATCATAAATTAACAAACGAGAAGAGTCAAGTAAAACGCAGAGGTGACGGCATAGCAACACACCACCCCTTTCATCGCCTCAGTGACTATATTGAATGGAACAAAACCCAGAAAAACATTTTCACTGAATAGTAAAGTGATACTATAACTATAGTACTTAATTGGTACAATTATTGTTTGCAATCCGTCTTTAATATTTGGTAAGAAGTAATAAATTATAGTTGATTACTAGTTAATTCTAGTATACAATATTTCTTGTATAATCATTATTGGCTATTTGATGGTAAAATAACTTTGAAAAGAAAGAAACGAAAGTTGGTGACATGACGGAGAGCAAAGAGAAAAATATGACTAAAGAAGAGAAGATCGGAGAGATCGAAATGAAAGATGAGAAGAAGGAATCTGCGTTCTATGAGATCGGTCACGACTCATGGAAGCTCTATAAAGAGAAATTCAATGTTGGAGCGACGAATAAGAACAAGAAGTTAAGGAAGTTCTATAAAGAGCAGTCCCGCTTTGTCGACAACCTTTTTGAGGAACCTGTTGATGAGAAAGATGACATTGGTGGGTGGCCGTTTGTTTTCATTTTGGTGAATACAACTTATACTATATACTATAGTAATTTAATTATATATTATAATAAAATAAAAATATAATAAAATAATAATAAATAGCACAAAAATAGCTATCTATGGGAGTTTTGCTATTAACTTGTGTCTCTGTGTCACGAAGATTGTTGCTGCTGTGTTTTCGGGGTCACTTACAGTCATAGCAAGTGCGTTGGACTCATGTTTGGATATTGTGTCTGGTGCCGTTGTCTTCATCACGGCGCTCTTGATGAAGAAGCCGAACCCTAGTAAGTACCCGATAGGGAAGAAGCGGATGGAACCATTAGGGATTATAGTATTTGCGACTGCTATGTTTACTGCGACGATTCAATTGTTGACATCAGCAGGACAGACTCTTCTAGCTGGGTCTTCTGAGTTTGAGATGTCGATCTTCCCCATCTGTGTCATTGGTGCCACTATCTTCTTAAAGTGTTGCTTATTCCTGTATTGCAGAACGGTGAATAACCCAGCTGCTGGTGCGTTAGCGGACGATCACCGGAATGATATCTTGACCAACACCTTTGGTATGTGTATGTCTATAGTTGGGTATTACTACTTCTGGTGGTTGGATGCTGTAGGTGGTATTGTCTTATCGTTCTACATCATGTTAAATTGGTTCATGACATTACTGGAATATCTCTCGATTATGTCCGGAAAAGCAGCGCCACAAGAGTTCATCTCACAGATCATCTTGACGTGCTGGAACCACGACCCGAGAATTAAGGCAATTGATACTGTGAGAGCATTCCACTTGTCAATGGGGTATATGGTAGAAGTCGATATCGTTTTGAATGAAAATATGACACTAGCTGAAGCCCATGACATCGGGGAGACTCTCCAAACCAAAATTGAGAAACACCCCAATGTGGATCGTGCCTTTGTCCATTTGGATTACAATGATGACCATGATGTGTTTAACGAGCACGAACAGGATTGAATTGCCTAATCCAATTTGAAGTGTTTCTGTTGTAAAGGACTTATTGTTTTGGTTATTGGGTTACTTGCATTTTCTTCGTCTTTTTGTGTGTTTGAGTACAAAAAGTACAAAAGAGTCTCTTTTGCCTTTAAAAAAGACTTATTTAAGACGTATTTGATATGAAAAATTGGTTCTATTTAGGGTTGCATATTTCAACAAAAAAGTACTGTCTCTGCGACTTCAATCGCCTAAGATATCTCTCTCGCCTTTTTCAACACAAACAAATGGAGTCAACACTCAATCAATTCACTTTGCAACGACACTCATTTTTTCTGTGACTTATTCATCGCCACACGGACTCTTTCGAGCTCTTTAATCACAGGGTGACTCCTACTGAATGTGTTATTAAGCCTTAAATACACTGAGACTCAGTTAATGCGCAACCCTAAAAAGAGACTCCGGTTGTGTGTCACTTTGTGATATTCTCAATAAGTAGAGATTTCATATAGAATAATATAACTAAATAAATAGAACAAACTGAAGTCAACGGTGCAATAGACATATGCTATGGTAGTGTTCAGTTTCATCTTATCTCGTGCATTTAATGTCTCGTAATCTATCTGTTCCAACCCCCGGACTTTCTCCGCAAGCTCCCCTAAAACCCTATATACCTCATCACAACTCTTCACATTTGTTGTCAATAAAACGGTGCTCATCACTTTTATTTTCCAGTTCATCTGCTATTTTAATGTCTCTTGCTCAAGACGCTACTCCTTCCGACAATCTCGACCTTCTCGACGAAGACGACATCTTCGAGGACTTCAACAGTTTGTGTCCCACACCCTATCTCCTCACTTTAAATCACAATTATTGACTTTTTAGACTTTAAAACAAAGGAAGTCGATGACTCATTACTTCATTGGCAAGACAATTGGGAAGATGAAGGCCAAGACGAGTTCACCAACAACATCCGTTCCGCTCTCACAACACAAAATTGAACTAAATGACTCACTTACTTGCTTTCCTTTCTTTTTCCTCCTTTCCAAAGCTTCGTGTCCTTAGTCCTTTCACATGAACGTATACCCGTCGTCCGAAAAGTCCTCTTCCTCTTCTTCCTCTTGTTGTTTTTCGTCCTCTGAAATCGTCAAATCGGGCTCATCATCAACCGCATCGACATCTATTCCTATTTTGAACGCATCAAGGGGGTTCGCCATTTCAAAATTGGGGTTGTTCCTCTTCGTCACGGGTTTATCGTTGAGTGGTTCGATATCGCTATATGTCATCTGGAGGGGGGTGTACTGGTACATCCCAATCGGGATTTTCTTCTTCTCAAGGACCAACGGAAATGGCTTCAAGTTATTAATATTCCCATGGACCAACACATTGTGGTCGATGAAAAATTGGAGGTACAACGACCACAACGGGTCCGACGACAACGTCGATGGGTTCCCCACCACCACCAACCCATATTTCGCTCGTGTAATCGACACATTTAAGCGTTGGGGGTTCTTCAAAAACCCAATTTCATTCGTCGAGTTCGAACGTACTGTACTGAAGATGATGAAATCCTTTTCTCTCCCTTGGAACGAGTCCACAGACGCTATTTCAATCGCATTCATAACATTCACTCCCAACTCCGTGTCTTTAGTCAGACGTACTCGTATCGCTTGCTTCTGTGCTATATATGGCGTGATGACTCCTATTTGTTCCGGGGAGACTCCACAATCAATCATTTTCACAATGATGTCGCGAATCACTGTGACTTCCTCGTCGTTCAAATACGACGTCGCAGTGGATCCAAACGACTCTTTCCCAGCCGTCGCCACAAACATCATCGGGCGGTTCTGGACAAACCAGAATCTCTTCAACGAGTTGAATTGTCTTTCAAGTGCAGTCACTCCATTCTGCAATACACCATCATAGAACGTATGTGACGAAAACTCAGACAGCGCCGGATGCATTCGATATTGAAATTGAAGACGATACGGCTCGTGCCCAAGTTGTAACAGTCGTGAAAACATTGGTAACCCCAATCCATACTTTCTCGCGTCTTTACTATTCAACACGGGCCCAAGTTGACAGTGGTCTCCTACTAAAAAGATTTGTCGGACTGAGTTCATAAAACACACTAACACTTCGGGCTCTTCCGCTTGTGTACTTTCATCTACTAAGACCGTATCAATCTGATTATTGATCCCAAACAAACGCCTATCTCCTGCTACACAACACGTGCAACAGATCACATCACACTCCCGAAACACTTTCAACTCAATGTCTCGTATCACCGCCAATATCGAGTTCTTGTCCGCCTCCGCCAACTCCTCTGGCTCTTCTCGAAACGCTTTATACTTCTCCAACGTCTCTTTGTCCTTCATTTGTGCCATCACGTCGTCCACAATCTTCCCCAACGAGTAATCATACAATGGCTCATTTTCACTCTCGCGGCCTTTCCCAAACACACGAATCACTTTAACACCAGTGTCGACAATTTTGGCAGCAAGTTGGTCGACAGCGATGTTACTTGGCGCACACACTAGTACCTTTTTCCCCGGATTAGAGTGGACCGCATGGTATATAATAGTGGCAGACGTGACAGTCTTTCCTGTCCCCGGAGGTCCCTGAATCAAACTCAGTGATTGCGTGAACGACTTCATCACAACCTCATATTGCACTTGATTCAGTGTCGGGAGGTTCGGCGCGTTCATCGATTGGAGTGTCGGGTGTTGTGCCAAATATGCCTCTTTCTCGTCTTTAAAGTCCTTCTCATAGACCATGTCCATCGGGTTCTTCGGCATCCCAAGTAATCGATTCCTGAGGTACGACGACATCGTCGGGAAGTCGTGCGGTTCCTCGGACTCTCCAAACATTTGCAGTGCTGTTTTCTTTCGTTTAAACGGGATCGACATCCATTGGAAGCAAATTGAGAACTTCATTGCGTTGTGTTGTTGTGTAATAATTTGTTTCTCTATTGGTACTCCTGGTGTCTTCTCAAACTGTACCGTGATGTCCTTCCCTCGAATGTATTGAACTGTCCCCACAAGTAATGTGTGGAGGCGTGAGAAGAACTTGTCCTTCTCGTCGGGGACCATTTCATTGTATGTGTGTATTTCATTGACTTCCACTGACTTCCCTTTCAGTGGTAAGAAGAACATTAACGTGTCATTGATAGTAATTCGGATCTCTTCATTCGCAGGAACTTCAAACGTGGCGTGCACCGTTTTCTTCATCTCGTCCGCTTTCCGGACATCATCAAACTTCAAATCAATGTTCACTAAGTGCTCGGACTCTCTCTTGTTCTTGTCGGCATTTGCCTCGAGCTTTATGAGTGGCGTGAATGTGTTTTGGTACTGCACACAGTCGTGGTAGTTCAAGTACGTCTGATGTAAGTCTTCTTGGTAATAATCGTTCCGTATTTTCTTCTTCGACGTTTGCCACTCAAACTCTTTCTTCCTCATTTCATTGCCAGAAACACCCACAACAAACTTCATTTCCGCATCACTCGGTGACGGACAGATCCACTCCTCAAACTTCTTATCTTGTACCAACGGCTTCCACGAATCGACATCCCAATTGTCCGTCATAGTCGTCAACGTCTCGACGTATCGACATTCTCGACAGATCACCGTCTTCGTGCCCGGGTTGTTTCTTAACACTATATAACCAAGGACAAAGGGGTTCCGGCATCGACATAAAAAGCACTCGATAGTGCACTCGCGGAATTTCGAGTCCTTCGGAAACCGGAGTTCTTTGTGTGTGGATCGCGCAATGTGGTGGACTATATGAGAGATGTGACCCTCGCCAACTCCATTACAGAAATATCTCCCACACCCACACCGTAACAGTTTCTTGCCGTCGCGAAGTCCGCAATAGTAACATTTGATAGATTCTCTTTCGGACATACGACTCTGGTTTTTTTATTTCCTTTTTTCTAAGTTTCATAAGTCGGGTTGAGAGTTTTAGTTTTTTTTACTATATTATTACTATAATTATACTACACTATTACTTTCTAATTGATGAATGTATTTCCATCTATTTATTGCGTTCAAAAACTTTGAATTGCTTCATAATTAAAAAGAGTACAACACAATATCATTCATGTTTAATGTTGTTATAAAGCTGTTGTACAACATATTTTGACCATCTTAAATGAAATGAAATGACTTGAAATGGTGACATAACAATGTGGATGAGTTTATACCAGAGTCTTTGAACTCATATACTAACCTATACATATCAAAAAATATACTATTTATTATAGTTTATTTCTCACTTCCCTCGAATGATTTACAAAATAGAAAAATTATAGTATTTATATAGTTTTTGTACCACAAAGGATAAAAGAAAAAATTCGACACTTTTCGAATGATATTTTGGATTTCTTGGTACAAACAATTTTAATTTCTTTTCTATTCAACTTGATTGTTTAAAACGATATATAATGTTCTATATCACACATCTTTTGTTTTTCATTTCTTTCAGTTGTGGGTGCCTCTACGGGTGTCAGTCCTGTCCAAACGATACATGCGAACGGTGTGAAAGTGGGTTTGAATTAGTCAGCACACTTTGTATTGACAGTCAAACATTGGAAGACCCTAACGACGGGACTTCGTGTAACTCTGGCGTCTGCATTTTCGACTACACGAAAACCACTAAAAGCTCTGTAGAGATAGCAACTGATATCACTTCGTTGATGCTCCCCGAGACTAAGATAACTATTAAGCAGACGAGTGGACAAGTCCACAGCATTATCAGTGGGAAGAATGTGTATTTCGATTCGGATTTTGACTGTGATATTGTTGATGTCACAACTGGCTATTTCAACACGACGTCACACTTCGATGCAATCAATGTGTCATTGGATACACTCGAAATCGATGGGAGTGTTAATATCAAGAGACTCAACGCCAGAGAAATCGCCATCAAACCTACAAAAATCGAGACCCAAAAGATAAAGGAAATCTCTCTCAAACAACCCTTTGTGTTCACCACATTAGTGACAGATGACCAATTCGATGAAATTTCTAAAAATGGGATTTACCTCTTTAAAGACACTAAGATCAACAACCCAAGTAACTACTCACTTACCCTTCACCTCTATAAATTGTCAAATGGAAAAACCACTCCAAGCGACTTTGCGTTCTACGACAATTTGTGTGGGGGTGTTATTGCTGCTTTCTGTTTGTTTTCTCACACTTCATTTACTTATTTTGTTATATATATATTTATAATAATATTACTATAATATTATAATATATTACATAATACTTTATAATACTATATAATTATAATACATGTTTCGTTCAATTATTATCATGGAAATAACAACTCAGTGCCATCCCCTCCAAAAGACCCATCAACTTCATGTCCCGATTATATCTTTGTCAAACCAACGACTTCAATGTGGTGGATTAGTGCAAGTGTTATGGTGTTTTTAATATTTGTCGCTTTGTTTGGCGCGTCGCTTTATATTGCAATCAAGTACTTCAAGAAGAAAAAAACTGATGAAGACAAGATGCCGTCTACGAATTAATTATATTTGTCTACTATTGTCAAACTATAATAAAACTAATATTATTATAATATTATTATAATAAAATTATTATTATTATTATATTATTATTATATTATTTTATATTAATAAAAAATACAACAGTATTCAATCAAAAATCTTTTTTGTGTTTCTTGGCTGACTTTTTCTTCTGTTCTGCGACTTTTTGGAAGGCATTAACACCTTTTGAGACTCTAAAAGCATTTTTCATGTTTTTCCTCAATTTTCGTTGTTTGGGTTTATCAAGGTCGATGTCGTACTGATCCAATTTAGTCACTCTCGATTGGATCTCTTTGTCGACATCTCCTACGACGCCACGCAACTCTTTTCTTTGTGTGTTAGTGTCGTCGTCCCAAGCGTCGACGCGTTCATTGAATTGTAAACCGACGGGGATTGTTTTTAAATCGAAAGCGTCGATGTGTTTTTTCCTTTTCACCACCTTTTTGGTATTCTTCTCTGATTTTTCTTGTTTTTCCTCCTTGGGAAGACTTTTCTTTTTGATAGTGAAGCCGTCGTATGTGCTATTAGAAATTTTTTCTATAGCATTAGTATCAAGACTTTCATTGCCACGTTTCTTTTCTAGTGGTGGGGCAATACTTTCTGGTTTTCTCTTAATTGGTTCGACTTTAGAAAGAATAGGTTTTAATTGGACTATAAGGGTGTGGACTCGAGTTGTGTGTCTTTCTTGTATTTCTTCCATTTCATTGATCGTCACTTGTTCCTGTTTTGTTGCATTCTGTTGTTTTACACTTGTTTCTTTGTCATTTGCCATTTTCATGAGTGCACTAAGAGCATCGATGTCATCCTTTTGCTTCTCCACTTTGTTGGTGTCACTCTTCAAAACCGTCTCATTCGACCGTTTATAGAAGAGCATATAGCCCTCACTCTTTAAAACTGTTTTAATAGGGACGGAAGTAACAGTGTCATCATCACATTGAAACCACCCCGAATTGGGTCCTTTAATATAACAGATATAGTGCCCCCCATGTTTAGTTCTTCCCAAATGAACAATGACTCCATACAAGTCAAACAGCCCATCTTTCCCGTATTTGGACATATTCAGTTCGCTTGGAAATTTGACGAAGCCATTGATCTTGCGCTCATCCCACCCAAATCGTTTGATTTGAATAGCTAAGACCCACGGAAGTTCTTTGACAAAATACCTCTTCGACGCTTTTGAGGACGTCTTGCACTTGTCACAGGTATACCCGTCCAACACGTCTTTCTTAAAAAAGACGTCAAGGCCACTCTCCAGTGTTTTGTCCTTAGTCACTTCGACTGGGAGGAATGAAAATTGTTCGTTGGAGTCACTAATCCCCAAGCAGTTATAACACGTAATTCGACTTGTTAGGGTTGTGTGGAAGATACTACTAATGATTGATATCTTATTCTTCCCTTTTCCTATAGCCGCCTCGTGGAGATGGTCCAACAAGAGGACATAAAATTCCGTCGCGTCCTCTTGTTCGTATCTCTCTAAAGACTTCGACAGGATCTTCAAATTTTTTTCAAACGCAATTGGCTTCAAAATTGTGTTCTGCTTGCCAACAAAGGCTTTACTGAACAAGGAAGCAAGTGCCGTCCAAAAGGGGTCCTCGAGTGATGGAATAACTTTTGATTGTGCAATGTAGTTATACAATGGAGTCGTGTGCGTTAATGCTTGGAGCACTGAGATCATATAACAATTGCTGTGTGCGTTGAAATACCCTTTTCCTACATTTCTTTCTAATTTCGGCCATTTCATTAGGGCAAACACTTCGTCGTGACTGACGTCTATTTTGTTGTCTATTAACACTGATGTTCGTGCAAGGGGGTTCAATGTTTCTGTTAATACAAAGTGAAGTCGGCGCGGGAGAAACTCGTTGAGCTGCAGCTGAATCTGGTCGTCGATGTCCATCGACGCAGCAGACTCGCCCATATCGTATAACTTGATGCCAAAACCCTATTTTCCTCTTTGAAAGAAAAATTGAACAATTGACCTTTAATAACATTTCAAATAACATTTTGTTACTCAACATAAAGCCACAAAATAGTATAGTATTTTTTATTGTAAAATTAATTATAAAATAAACTATACTTTGGAAAAGATAAAAAGTGACATAAAACCAACTTAAATAGTAAATGGAAGTCGAGGAGCAGACAAACATCTATGCGAAGTACGATGCACACGTCAACGCGATTCGCACATATCTTGGAAAATTGTGGGATGAGTTTAGTGGTATTAGAAACCACAAAACAGAGTTTTCCTCGAAGTGTTTGTTGATGACTTAAGAAGTTAAAAAAGTTATAATAAAATTAAATATAAAATAATAAGTCTTAATGGGTCGATATTTAATTGTTTAACATGTAGTGAAAGAACAAATCGATGAGATTAACCGTTTACAAATATATGTCGAACAACTTCTAAGTGAACAAAAAGATAAACAAGAGAAATTAAAGCGTCTAGAGACCGAGTTATATTTGTTAAGAAAAGAAGTCCAAGGCCAAGCCAAAACAGACCAACCTGCTGAATGATTGTTTCTTTCTTTAATTCATTAATACCGTTTGATACTATTTTATAGTATTTAATATAGTTTATTTATACTATTTAAAATAGTTTACTAGTTATAATAAAAAAAACTAAATGAGTCTAATATTTATTTCTTTGCTCGTTCAACTTCGCGTCGCTTACGTTCTTCGTCCCGTTTTCTTTGTTTTTCTTTTAAAGCGAGGATAGTGGGGTTTTGTGACTCGGAGATATCTTGTGGAGTTTCCTGAGTTGCCGCTTGAGATTTTTCTTTCGACCTTCGCGTGACCTTTTCTATAGCGGCGTCTCTCTCTGCTCTTTCTTTCTTTCTTCTTTCAGTTCGAAGTCTTTCTTTCTCAAGTAAGTCTGCAGAGATATTTTTCTCTTCAATTTTGTCTTCCTTCAGCGTCTTTTGGATTTCTTTGACTGTTTCGAGTTTTTTCAGTTCTTTCTTTTGTTTTGTTCGTTCTGCATTGATTGCCGTTAACTTGTCGTTAATTTCCTTCTTCTGTGCTTGTAATTTACTCATCGTCACTTCAAACTCTTTCTCGGACTGTTCGTGCTGGTCTTTTCTCTCATTTAACATCCGAATTCGTTCTTCACAGTCTTTTAAAGTACTTTCAGTGTCTTTCTTTAGACTTTCATTGACTCTTAACTGCTCTTCTAAAAGTTGTTTCTTGGTGCTTAACTCCTTCTCGTCGCGCTTCAGGCGACGCGCTTCTTTGGTAATTTTGTCGATCTCGCGTTTACCCTGTTTTTCTTGTCTGGCACGGTCACCACTTAATTTGGCTGTGAGTAAAGCCAGTTGCGCGTTGCGCTGTTTCTCTTCTTCGACGAGTTTGTCCTCAAGTTGAGCGTATTTAATTTCGGCGTCTAATTGGTTCTTGTCGATCTCCTCTACTCGTTGTGAGACCTCCTCCGTTTTTTCAAGCACTGCTTCCGCGTCGCTTTCGACTTGTTGTCTCTCCTGTATGACAAGTTGTTTCTCCGCGTTTGTTATCTTGATTTGTTTGTTGACTTTATTTGTCTCGATTTTGGCTTGATTCAAATTTTTGATATTAGTTTTGTCTTGCGTTTGCAAGTCGACGATTTCGCTAAGCATCTTCTCATTTTGTGTTGTCCCTTTTTTGATATCTTTTCTGATCTGTTTGTTTGTGTCTTGTTCATCAATTAAGATGTCTGTCTTCGTGACGATATCACTTTTTTGCTCATTGACGTCACTAATAAGGAGATCTGTAGCCTTTGTGACTTCTTCAATCTTCTTTGAGACATCACTGACAAGGGCCTCTTTTCTCTTCACACTTTCTTTCGCCATCTCCTGTTGGCGCTCTAACTCTCTTCTTTTCCTTTCAAATCTCAAATTCTCGTCTTTAAGTTGATTAGACAACTCTTCCGTGTGGATTTCCATTTGGAAGACTTGTTTCCTTGTTTCGCCCTTTTCTTTCTCAAGGCTTTCAATATTTTTCTTTAACTCTTCATTTTGTTGAACGACCTCAAGAGTCATCTGTTGGACCTCTTCATTGGTATAGTTCTGAAGACGTTCTATTGAAGCGACTTCACTCTCTTTGTTTATTATTAAGTTTTGGGTGATTGTTTGTTTGTGTTGAGCTTCTTCTTCACTATGCTTTAATGCGAGTTCAGCCCCTCTTGTCTCGTGTTTGATGTCATCAAGTCGTTTTTGGTTCTCGCGCTCTTCTTTGATATCTTTGGCTTTAGCTTGAAGAAGGACGTCATTCATTTCTTGAAGCATGTCTTCTTTATCGGCCAGTTCTTTTTCCTCTTTATCCAAGTTGGAGTGTTCCTTTGTGACTGCATCTATAATGTCTTTACATTTCTTTTCTTTCTGGACGGTCACTAATTCGTCTTTTTTCTTGTCTATTTCTTGTTGCAAGTTCACTTTATTTGGTGTTTCTTTGTCTTTGATACCATCAAGTTCTTTCTCTAGTGTGTGATCAGTCACTTTTTGAGTTTCTTCTTCACTTGAAATAAATGGATGTGTGAATATGTTAAACAAATCCCCCACAAATCGACTGTTACTTGTTTTATTGCCAGTAATAATGTCTTTCACCGTAATAAAAGAAGTACCATTCACTGTCGCAGCACTTCTCACTACTTCTTCCGCTCTTAACGTCAGATCAGATTGCCTCAAAACCTCAATGTTGGTCTTTGAAATGAAGTGGTGGAGCAGTTCAATATAGGCTTTTGAGTCCATAATTGAATTTTCAAAGTCAAATATTTTGGTATTAGAACCATCAGCTTTTAGTGTCTGATTGACCCATTGTATCAAATAGTCATTTGGAGACAAATTAAGGGACCCTATTGCTCGTTTCAATGACTTTTCAAAGACTTTGTCAATGAATTGCCACAAAAATCCAAGTACTATAGTAAGTGTTGATGTTGTTGTTTGTGAAAAGTTTGTTGGGCTCAGAGTGATTGTTGGGATGATTCTTTTCAGGAAAGCAAAGAGTTTTGTTAAGTTTTCATCTTTATAAAAGAGAGATGTTTGGACGTATTTGGGTTGAAAATTGATTGGATATTCAGGATAAAATTTAAGGACTAAATGATACAATAAAACTCCATCACTAAGTGCATTAAAAAGATCATTACCTTCTAAAGATATTGGAAGATATTTATATTTCTCGGTCAATAAATAGTCTCTACTTAATTGAATGTTGATCCATTTTGATATAGACCGTTTAGAATCATCATTTGGTGTGTTTGGTTGTGTTAACAAAGGTTGTTTTGTTAAACGATCAGGTAAAACACAAGAAACAGAATCCATTTGTTGTGTTTTTTAGTTCAATTTTCCTAAGCTTGTATTGCAAAACAATTCGTTCTTTTAATTTAAAACTACTCAAATGTTTAAATCAGTTTTATTTATTATTTAATAATAAATGACTTTAAAAATGTTAGATAAAACAGGTAAAAAAAAGAAAGTTTTTGATAATTTATCCTTCTACTATTATAAAATATTATATTGTATTGTTATTAATGTTATACATTATAGTTGTTTTTATTATATAATATTATTTATATAATATTTTAATAATATAATAAAGTTGGAAGATTAAATTTTTGTTTCAAAAAAAAATAAATTCTATACATCTGTCCATTATTAACACATTACAATAAATTATTTTAAAAATTTATTTTAACACGTTGGTGTTCCATTTATTTTTTGTTTTATAAAAAATCTTTATTGTTGAAAACTTTAATTTTTGCAATTTGTATTTAAAAAAAGCTGAAAAAACGTTTGCATTTCTGACGATCTTTTTTGCAACGATCTTATTAACACCTTAAATAACACAGAAATTCCAAATTTCATGTAAATTTAAAATCATTTTGATAAAAAAAACAAAACAGAAAAAAAGACCAAAAATGTGTATTACAATACACACGAAAACATCCCGTTTGAAGGACTTTTTTTAAACCAAAATTAAAAATAAATCATTTTAAAAATTGAAATTGGTAATAGACTTTAGAATAACATTTGATTATAATAGTGGTTATTTTGTTATTATCTGTAAACAAATGTTGCATACAGTTACATAAATCTGGACAGAATGATTTGTACATACACATTTTTCACAATTTAAACAAGTTTTTGAAGTGTTTGTGACTATTCCAGATTGTGTACAAATCCAACATCGTCCTCTGCGTCGTTTTACATCTAACCCCTCTTTCATGACAACGAATCCGTTACATTTTCTAATAACGTTGTTTTTGATGGAACATGTAATTTGCGTATTGTCGTGGGTTTTGTTGTTTTGGATAATTCATTCGCCAAATTAGTTGTCTAATTTGGCGAATGAATTAGACAACTAATTTGTCTAATTCATTAATAACCGGATTAATATGTTATGCTAACATAACATCCGGTTCAGCTTGGGTCACTAGTCTTGGGACAACCCAAGGCAAAGTTTCCATTTGGATTGTGACCAAGAAACAGTCAACTTCTGGTACTACGAAGTACTCGATCATCTCCGAAATGAAAACATTACCGGCTTCCTGGAGTAAAAGACTTGCTTCCTTTAACGAAACAAACATTCGCTTCACTCGACCTAAATAAACACCAACAACACCAGACCTTCTAAACGAAGCAACTATTACATTATTGGTCGCCTTTGATTCCATAACTTCCAACACTTTCTTTGCGTGATAAGTTATTGGCATACCAGTTGGTTCTCTTAATGTGTTAGACCTTCTCAATAAAATGTGGAGTCTTCCGTCTTTCTCACTCAACATTCGGATCCAATCACTCAAACCTTTCTTGAACTCGTCTTTTTGTTCAACTGTGCTAATTGAGATTGAAGGTAGTGACTTTTCTACAATTGTTGTTGGACCTCTTGTATTCAGGGCTTGCTTGGCAATACCCAAAACATAAATCTAAGAACTGGACAAGATGGCTCGAATGAGGCACGAAGTAATAAAAAACGACAATACGTTGACTTGCAAACTCGGTCATTTCACTCCTAATATGACCCGTGAAATTGTCCATTGTAACAACCGCTGTTTCCTTTTTCAGTTTAATAGTCTTCTTGTCATTTCAATGTGTGGTATGAGATGGTTAACTAACCACAATTGAATAATTGTTTCATCGACAAACCCCGTTTTGGTATAATATAATAACCAACCATGACAATCCGCTTCAAGATCAGAATAATATTTCTCGTTCGGAAGAACAATTGCTGGAGTAACAAAAGCACCATCAAGAGAAACACAAGCTATACATGTGCTACATTTGAACGAATGAAACACTCCAAGTTTAACTTCTTCTGAATCCTTGAGTTTTTCATACTTCTCTTTGGTAATATAAACAAACATGTTGTGTTTATCCATCCAATCAGAAAAACCGACTTCATCTACATTGAAAAAAGTGCTGCTGGCGTTTCAGTGAACAACTTTAATGTTTTGTAATTGTCGTAAATGTGGATGAAATCAAGTTGTACTCTTTCAATTCATCTGGCACTACTTTAATTTTCACGCAATCATGGAAATATTATATGTGTCTTCTTAAACCACTATATGATATTTCGAAGAAAGGATCTTTTTTCACGGAGGTTTATTATAAACGAATTCGATAATGCAATTTTCTTTTCTGGACACAATGGTATAAGTTATTCAATAGATTCATCTATTTTTCTTGATATTTTACGAAAATCCAATCTGGATCAACAGTTTCATGTTTCTTCAAATGCCCAGAAAGTGTTTGAGGAGTGATGCTGAATAGTCTACTCATATTTGTTAGAGAAAATTGGTATTATTTAAAAATAATTTGATTTGCTCTGTCATTGTCAAAGACTCCAATAAAGATTGTTTTAATGATTCTGAATTTTTTATTGTTTTGAGTATTTTATTAACTTTTTCCCTTTCCATTAAAGTGTTTTTACCCCGATCTAAAGTGTTCATTCTGATTTCTTGAAGACTTGAAGCTTTTTTGGTCATTTTTTCAACATTTTGTTTTTTACAGTTTTTGTTATTCAAATATTTTTTTGTTCTTAAAATAAAAAACAAATTTTAAATGAAACTATATAAAAAACCATAAGGTGGTTAATTCTTCATATTTTATAAATTATTTTACTATATCAACATAGTTTGTAAATGATTAATTATTATATCTTCATTGCCTTGCAATTTGAAAGTCAAAAATAAAAAAATGTTCCAATTATACAAAAAATACGTAATCAATTATTTAATAAAGACTAACCTTTGGAATTATACTTTGAATTGGTATTTGTTAGTTGTATTACAAGTTGTAATGCAATTTACTTTCTCATAAAATACATAACTTTGATTCAAAAACTTCAATAAACAACGAAATTATATTGCTTAAGATCTATTTAAACCGAAAGTAATTCAATTATTCACAAAATGGACAACTTCACTTATTGCAATCCAGTGAGACTCATCTATGGAAAAGGTTCTATTGAAGAGATCAAGAAGCAAAATTTGATTCCAACGACTTCTCGTGTGATGTTAATATATGGTGGTGGGTCTATTAAGAAAAATGGAGTTTACAATGATGTTTTAAAGTATGTCACACCCATTTGTGAATTTGCAGGAATCGAACCAAATCCCCACCATGAGACTTGCCTTAAAGCAATTCAACTTGCCAAAGAGAACAACATTGATTTTCTTTTGGCTGTCGGTGGAGGTTCAGTTGTAGATGCAACCAAGTACATCGCTCTTGCTCTTGAACATACGTATAGCACAGATACTTATGATATTATAATGAAGTATGGGAAGTATGAACCCAATCCAGCCAAAGCCAAAATTGGAGTTGTACTTACCATTCCAGCGACAGGAAGTGAAATGAATTGTGGGGCGGTTATCTCACGTGTTTCTGATAAAACAAAGTCGCATTTCTTCCATCCAAGTGTCTATCCCACCTTCTCCATAGTGGATCCTGTTTACACAATGTCACTTCCTGTTAACCAAGTAAGAAATGGGTTAGTTGATTCATTTGTACATGTCTATGAACAGTACATTCCACATTATCAGAAGAATGCAGTGACTGATGCAGAGTCGGAAGGGGTATTCAAAGTCATCATGAGTGTAGCGGAGAAAACCATTAATGATCCAACAGACTATAAGACTCGAGCTGATTTCTGTTATGCGGCTACTGTGGCTCTTAATTGGTCTTTGTGTGTTGGTGTATCCATGTGCGGAGGTGCACATGCTGTTGGACACGAAATTACGACTTATTACGGTCTTGCACATGGAGAGACACTTGCAATGACCACACCAGGTGTTATGAGATTCAACAAAGAGAAGAACGCTCAAAAGTTGATTCAAATGGCTGAAAACGTCTATGGCATCAAAAATGCTAAACCAGAAGATGCTATTGAAGCTACTGAAAACTTCTTCAAACGAATTGGAATGAAGACAAGACTCTCTGAATGGGGATATGGAAAGGAGCACTTCGAGGAAATTGCTGCAAAGTTCAAAGAAAATCCAGCTGGTGCTTATAAGGATATTGACCACGATGGATGCCTCAAAATCTTAAACGATATCTTTTAATTTACCTAGTAAATTAGAATTTGTCTTTATTTATAAAAGTTAATATTAATTTATTAAAATAATAATAAAACTTTTTTTAATTATTGTAAAAATGCATTTGCCGGGACTCGAACCCGGATCTCCACCTTGGAAGGGTGGAATTCTGCCCTTAGACCACAAATGCTTCTAATAAAATTTCATAAAAAATATAGATAACATTACAAAATTAAACTATTGAATTATTATTTTATTAGTTAATTAAATAATATACATTTTGTAAAAATTATTTAAAAAAATAAAATAATCAAATAATGTAAACTAGTTTAATTAATTTTTTAATAATATAAGACTAGCTATTTAGAAACCTCATTATTACGTTTTAATTTAATAAAATGACAATAACATTTAAAAATTAGTTAAAAATTATTTTTAATTATATATTATCATTTATTTATTATAAAAGTATAGTTTTTTTTTAATAATAAGAACTAGTATGAACAAACCAAATCACACATGTCAGTGGGTGAGTATTTGTTTGGGAGTGACAGCGAAGATATAACGGGGTTATTAAGTGAGTCGAGTAACACGGACTCTTCCGACTCTTCTGATCTCTCCGACTCGAAGCCCAAAACCCGAAAAATACCCGACTCTGTTAAAAAGCTGATAGGAGAAGCTTCGATGTGTTATGTTAAAAAGGAGTATTCGCAAGCCACGGAGTATGCTCTCGAAGCCATTAAAGTCGCGCCACAAATTCCCGATAGTTATCACACATTGGGTATGATATACTCCGATTTGGGAGATAAGAAGACTGCAAGGGATTATTTCATGATAGCGGCGCATATGACGCGAACTGACGGAGAGTTGTGGAAGCGGCTTGCAGACATGTTTAAAGAAGATGGCGACGAAGAGCAGTACTACTACTGTTTATCGAAAGCTGTTCTCCACGATCCCAAGAACGTCGATTTGCTCTACGAGAGAGTCAAAGTTGGGACACAGATGTCGGACTCGCGCGGCGTTTTATCGACATTCCAAGCACTCATAGCTCTTGATGGAACCGCGACAACAGCAAAACAGATAGCGACGGCTCTTATCACAGAAAAGAGGAAGAAAGAAGCTGCGAGTGTCGTATTAGGAGGTGTCAAGCAACGGATTAAAGAGAATAAAGACGTTGAATTAAGTCTTGGGAATATATTAATGGAGCTTTTACTCGACAACGAAATGCTCGACGAGTTCTCTGAATTTTACACAAACTACGTGAAGACGCACGACGAGAGTACGTTCCCCGTAGACATGCAAGCCAATGTCTGCATATTCAATATCCGCAAGAAGAGTGAGGAGACGTGGATGCCGTACTACTTATATCATCTGAAGAACATCAACCCGAATATTGTCGACTTGAGTGTGTTAATAGCAAATGAGTTGATGAAAAAAAAGGAGTATCAAAAGGCGATGGAGTTGTATGAAAAGATTCGCAGTTTTGAAGGGATGGACAACGCCGTCATATGGGGCAACTTGGCCGTGTGTTACTGGAATTTAGGGAACGAGCCGCTTGCGTTCCAGTATGGGGAGAATTCGCACAAAGAGTGTGGGTATCGCGGGGATGTCACTGTCTTGTTAATGAGAAAGATGTTACAGGAGGGGGAGTACGACAAGATGTGTGAGATCAGTGATCACTACTTTGAGAGTTTGGAGCAGATGAACGACATCGAAGTCTTCCAGAACATGAGCGAGCAGAATGATGTGATAGAAATATTGAGGATGAAGATGAAAGGGTTTTACAGGCAAGACAATTACGAGAAGTGTTATGAGACGTTTCTGTGGATCTTTGGGAAGGTGATACAAAAGGAGGAGACGGACCTGATCAAATCGCGCATCAAACAGTTTCGATTTTCACGGTCGAAGAAGTGGCGGATGGGTGCGGTGTTGTCGATTTTGGGTGTTGAAATGCCGGTTGAAGAAAAGAAGGAGAAAAAGCATACGGAAGAGAGTGAAATTGAAGAGGACAGACTCTTTCAGACGAAGCGCAAAAAGAGAAAGGACACTGCCGTCACAGTAGCACCACCAATACCAAATGAAGAGATCAAGTGGGACCAATTTGATGTCCCCCAAAAGGTCGAGAGTCTGAAACAGAAACAAGTCGAGCCGGTGGAGACCTTCAATGAGAATGAAAAGACGGACAGAAGTGAGACGGAAGAGAGTAGTTTAGTTGACAAAAAGACTCGGAACACTGACCGTGATAATCGTAAAGTGATTGAAATAGCAGGGACCTTTGTATTACTTGAAGAGGTGTTAGGCATTGAAAGGATTAAAAAATACATCACGTGGCATATTACATGTGCGGCTGTCATCAACAAAATGGACGAGTGTAAGCAAACGATCGAGTCTTTAATAACAGTTTTGGGGCATGATGAAGACAACGAGGTAGCTATACGGACGTCGTTCATTAACATTTGTTTGAGGTATTCATCATTCGAAGCGGCGATTTTTCAATTGAAAGCACTCTGTCTTGTCTTCCCCAATCGAAAGGATCTCTGGTTCTTCTTTAACAAGATCATCGTGTTGAGTCGCCGACAGACTAACCCGGGCCTCCTCAAGTACTTCAGTCGCATGCACTCCAAATACCCGAAGGAGGAGATCATCACTATTATATTGGGCAACCTCTTCTTGACGACGTGCCAATATAACAAGGCCCTCACGTTACTGTTTGATGTGTACGACAACCAGAAGAACTCTGCATTACTCAATTTGTCCATTTCTCTGTGTTTTCTTGGCGATGTTGCGAATCGAAATACTATAGATAAGTCCTCAGTGATGGTGAACAGTCTGACGTACTTGAAAAGGTATTTAGAGTTATGCGGATTCAAAAAGGAGGGGTTGTACAACGTTGGGAGGTTCTATCATCAGCTCGACGTCCTCTATTTAGCGTCGAATTTCTATGAACAAGCGCTGTCCATCATCCCAAAGAACAGTGCAGAGGCGTTGCTTGATCGCGAGATTGCATTCAATTTGTCACTCATCTATGCAAAGGCTGGGAACGAAGACTTAGTCATCAAGATCAGATGGCAATACCTCCAGTTCTGATTGTTTTCTATTGATTGTTGTGTATCGCTCTCTTCTATAAACCACATATAGCAAATCAAGACAAAATCAATTCCATTCAAACACCACGAGCCGCTCCATATCCGCAACAACAGGAAAAGTGGCGCCGGTGAGAATCCCACTATCAAATTTGGTGTTGTAGCACTCACTCCATTTCTTGTTCTGGACGTATATCTTCTTGTCCTTTTTGATGGTGAAACAGCAGTCGAAACTGACGATACCGTTATCATCTGTGTTGTGCAAATAAAAGGACGAGTTCGTCTTCTTCTCGACCAAAAAGGGTTCCCCAAGGCGGTTGACCAACGAAAAGACAAACGCTTTGTTTGCAATGATTGGTGTTTCTCTCTTCACAACACGAGGCAGTCCATCACTCTCGTTGTAACACCCAAACACACAGCCTTCGGTCTGTACGATAACCATAATCGATTTCTTCCCCGCTATCGCCGCGTTGAATGCCTGTGTTGAAAATTTGTTGTGTGTAGTGTCATAAATTTTCTTGCACATTTTAAAGACAATAGCCCCACTCAACATACGGAGCGCCTTCTTGTTTGCTAAAGCCGTCATTATCCGATCTTTCGAATTAATTGTTTTGTTGAACATAAAGTCTTTGCCTTGTTTATACATCTTCAGCCACTCTTTCCCTGTGTACCCCTCTTTCTTGGGCTTTTCCCCGCCCTTCCACTCGTCCGAGTCGTCAGTGGCTTCTTTAATTATTGGCTTACTTGTGTTCTCCGGGGTGTCATCATTCCCACTCTCACTCAAATTCTCTTCTACAATAGCCCCATCATCGCTATTCTCCATCTCACAGATTTCGTAATTCTCCGAACTCGAATCACTACAACTCTCTTCCCCCTCTATGATCTCAACTCCATCAGATGACTCCATCAATTTGTCCGCTTGTTTCTTGGTGTCTATTTCCATCTTCGCCAAAACGTCTTCCGGCGTCGTTGCAAATTTCTCGAGTCGTTCCCGTTCGATCTTTTGCTTCTCTTTCTCAAACTTCTCTTTCTCTCTCTTCTCATTCTCAAGGTCTTCTGTCCTTCGGCGCTCATCTTCAAGTCGTTTCCGTTCGTTCTCTTGCTCAATAAACGCCGCTTCAAGTTGCTTTCTCTCATTGTTCAGTCGCTCTTCTTCTATTCTCTTTTGTTCCGCCGCCTCTTTCTCTTGTCGTTCTTTCTCTTCTGTTATTCTCTTCGCCTCGGCTTCTGCAGCTTTCACCTTCTCCATATCTTCTTTCTCTTTTCTTCGTTGCTCAGCTTCAATAACACGTTGTCGTTCTTTCTCTTCATTGACTTTCCGTTGCTCTTCCGCAAGTTGTTTCCTCTTCTCCTCAGCCATTTTGTTCTTTCGTTCCGTCTCAAGTTGTACTCGTCGCTCTTCCTCCTTCCGCGCGGCTTCTTCCAAAACTCTCATTTGCTCGTCCTCAACGCGTTTTCTCTCGGCTTCTTCTCTCTGTCGACGCGCCTTCTCCTCTCTCTCTTTCTGTATTCGTGCCATCTCAGCTTCTTTCCTTTCACTCTCCTTTTCTTGCTTGATGACAGAAGATTTGTACGAAAGAGCACGCGAGATGACCGCCTCGGAGGTCGAAGTGACCATCACCACAAGTCTCTGGAGCTTCAAACCCTCCGTTGCGCCACCAACCATTTCTTCATTGGACATATCGCCATCATACAACTTGTTAAATTCATCCGAAATGACTATTCGCCCGTCTTGAAAAACTATCAGACTGCTCCCCACTTGGAACATGACGTCGTTCATATCTCCAATAAACCCAACTTGTGGCGGAGATTTGGTCTTAAACCGCGCGCCGACTTTCGACGTTGAAAAAACAAAGGCGAAGTGATTGGTGTCGCCTTCTATCGTCGCCTTTCGCGTGCTAAATTGAGGGGCTTTGGTTTGGTTGTAGATCCCAAAGATCAGCCCACTTGTTGTCTGCACGGCAATAATAGTGTTGGCAATACACGACAAGAATTTGGAGAACCGTTGAGGGTCCATCCCATTCTCTTTACTATCATAAAGTAAACTACTAAATCGTTGGTTGTTCCAAGAGAGGTAAAGAGCAGTGACGACCTTGTCGTTCATGAAAAGTGCCAAATCCGTTTGTTCTCGAGTTGAAGAAATAATTTCTTGGAGTTTCTTGTGCAATTGGACTTCCGCTTCGCTCGCTATTGAATTTCCAACACTTTTATTCTCTTCAAACTTCGCGGACTTCGTTTGGGGTAATATTTGTTTCTCATTTTGTTGTTCTTGAGTACACCGACTCTCAACTTCAGTACTCTGTTGTGGTTCTTGCGCTTCTTGTACACTCTCTTTACTATCATTTTCTCCTTCAACCCCAAAGATAGCAATGTCATTCAAAGTGATTCGCTGACTCCCAACAAGAGTTTCTATAGACACCGCATCAAAGTATTTGTCTTCAAACGCCGTCCTGCCAACAACAACAAAATTCTCTCCTATTGCAAACGCATCTCGACAATCAACAAACACTCCGCTCCCAATGGAGTTCCATACTATAGTATCCCCACAATCCTTCTTCTCAAATTTGGTCCCAATCTGGTTCTTCCCTTCAAACATGAAGACAAAGTGCTTCCAGTCGTTCTTCACAAAAGCAGACTTCCCCTTCATCTCGGTGGTTTCCGGCACTTTCCCGCCACTGAAAAATCCAAAGACCTTGCCACTCTCACTTCTACACATCACAAGTATTCCCTTCTTCCCATGGATCTTCTTGTTCACGTGTTGTGAATCAATCTTTCGCTCGTCTGATAAGAACAGGAGCTTCACCTTTCCTTGACACCATCCAGACAACTGCGCGGTGATTTGTGGGGAGTTGACCGTATCACTGAATGGCTGTAACTTTGGTAAAGTCCCTGTTTGTGACAGAGTGACTATCTCTTGCGCATTTACTTGTGTTGTTGGCAACATTTGTTTTACTTCAATTGTCTTCTCAATGCAATTTTCTTGGTTCTGCACATTTGTTGTATAACTCCCATTCATTTGATTTGTTGATTTACGTTGAGGCGTCACATCATCTTTTTGTTCCAATTGCTCATTTTGCTTTTTCTGAGTTTGTTGAATTTGGTTTGTTTGTGTTTTATTCACTGTTTGACTATTTGTTTGTTCTTTAACAGTTTTATCAATTTCATCGACTTTATCACAATACGACGGACTTGTTTTGTTCTGTGCATTCATCTTATTTTCTTCGAGTTTTCCCACATTAACTTCTTTCTTCTCCACTTTTTGTTCGCTTTTTGGTTCGCCCTTTTTCTCCACTACAGATGGTTTAATTGTTGGTGTGAATTGGAAATTTGGTTTAAACGTATCAGTTGTTTGTTTTGTTTTTTCGTTCGTCGACACGTCACTTGAGTTCTGTGGTTGTTCTTGATTGAACCCAAATAACGGTTTTGGCACCTCATTTTCGTGTATAACGTCATTGTTTTGTTGGTTGAGTTTATCGACCTTTAAAGTGACTTGACTCAATTGAACTCGCAACGCCTCACACTTGTTATTTAGTGTTGTGAGTTCGTCTTGAGGTGCTTTTAGTGTTGACATTTCAGTTTTGAGTGTTAGCAATGAGTTAGTCAGAATTGATACCTTTCCCTTGAGCTCTTCAAGTTGGACATCCAGTGCATTGAGTTTAGTGGTGTGTTCTGTGTTCGTTCCTGAGAGTATTCCGTTCAACAACTTCTGCGTCTCAATTGCATTCACCTTATCATAAAGCCCTTGCATAGTATCACTCATAGTAACTATTCTCAAATTCATCGTAGAAGTGTTTTGATCGATTAATTGTGTTAATTCATCTTTTAATGACGCCAACTGGTCTTGAAAATTGCGTTGTAACTGTAACGGTTGTGGTGCTTCTTGTGTGGGGTGTTCCGGTAAAGCACCTCCTTTCGCTTCCTGGACATACATCAAAAGACTTCTTAAAAAGTTTATCACAAGTGGATTAAAGACTATTTGGCGAGAACAACTCAAGTCAAGTTCTTTTAATACACTTTCGAGGTATTCGACGGTTGTCATCTCTTTTTGTGTTTTTTTTCTGTTTGTTTTGCTTTTTTCGAGCTTGTTTTATATAAATTATATTGTTTAATTTTGTGGAAATTACTCTTGTTTTTTTATAGCTTGAAAATTATATTTTTAATAAATAATAATAAATAAATATTTAATAATAATATTTATTTATTGACCAAATAATTGTCAGAAGGGTGTATTTCCCCTTGATTACCTGAAAATAACGGGTTTTAAAAAAGTGAAAAAAAGGTACACCAAAAATGCTAAGAAACTTAAATCTATTTTTATATTAGTTTTCAATTAAAGTTTTAAAACTATTTATTTTACTTCTTACAATAATTTGGTTTCTGGCTATTTTTTTGTCACAACTGTAAATACTTTGGTTTTGTTCACTTTATAATTCTGGTATAGTAAGTTTAGTTTATTTTAATATGATTAGGTTATTGTATTAATTTAATATAATTAATTATAAATTATAAATTATTTTTAAAAATATTATTAAAATAGAAAATAATAGTATTGGATGAGAGACATTAAAAAATCAATCTCGAGATTAAATAATGTCGGATGGTGGAACGAGAGAAGATTTGAGCAATGAAAACGTGAGAAGAAACAGCGAGAATGGCAGAAGAAGCCGAAAAGGAGAAGTCCGAAATTGTTGAGGACGAAGAGGAGGCACCATCATTTCACCAAGTTGAGGGTCTCCAAGAGCATGGAATCAATGTGGGAGATATCAACAAGCTAAAACAGGCTGGTTGTAATACTATTGAGTCTGTTATCATGCACACACGCAAGGAGCTTTGTGCCATTAGAGGATTTTCGGATGCGAAGGTTGATAAGATTTTGGAAGCCGTAGGAAAGGTCTGTCCGACGCATGCGTTTGTAAGTGCGACTATTGCTCTCGAACGCCGAGCGAATGTGATCAAAATTACAACAGGGAGTGCGCAGTTCGACACACTTCTTGGTGGTGGAATTGAGACGATGAGTGTGACTGAAATGTTTGGTGAGTTTCGAACGGGAAAAACACAACTGTGCCATACGCTTGCAGTCACGGCCCAATTACCAGCAAATCTGAAAGGAGCCAATGGAAAGGTTGCTTACATCGACACAGAAGGTACGTTCAGACCAGAGAGAATAACGCAGATCGCAGAGCGTTTTGGTGTGGACCAAACCGCTGTACTTGACAATATCCTGATTGCTCGTGCCTACACACATGAACAACAGTTCGACCTTCTTGTCGAAATTGCGGCCAGAATGGCTGAGGACAGATTCAGGTTACTCATTGTCGATAGTGTTACTTCACTCTTTCGTGTGGATTTCAGTGGACGAGGCGAGTTGAGCGAGAGACAACAAAAGCTCGGGAAGATGATGAACAGACTGATTAAGATAAGTGAGGAGTTCAATGTCGCAGTTGTGATTACCAACCAAGTCATGAGCGATCCGGGAGGAGGAGCAATGTTTGTTGTCGATCCCAAAAAACCCATTGGTGGCCACGTTATTGCCCATGCCAGCACAACAAGGCTCTACCTAAGAAAAGGGAAGGGCGAACAGAGAATCGTCAAATTGTATGACTCGCCAAATTTACCGGAGGCTGAGGCAACATACGCCATTGAAGTTGGAGGAATTGTCGACGCAAAAGAGTAACACGTGTTTTTTAGTTTTTTTATTGTCAAAACACCAATCAAAAATATTTTATTTATTTGAACTGAAACGCACGGCGATTCTGTGCCTTCAATAATGCTGACACGTCGACCGTTTCGATTTCTTCTTCCTCTTCTTCTCCTTCTTTTATGGGTTCTTCTGTTTGTGTGTATGAATGTGCCTTCTTTTTTTCTTCCTCCTCTTCTTTTTTTGCCGAGCGTGAACTTATGAAGTAAAGTATCGAGAGCATTGCAACAGATGTGATAGTAAAAATTATAGACAATTCAATCAACATCTATCAACAAATTCAAGTTTTTATTGAGTTTTTTAATTGTTCATTTTATTAATTTAATAATAACAAATTTTTTTATTTTTTACAATTTGTTGTGGGGTTTCTAGTTTTCTAATAATCAATCAAATGATTAGAATTAGACTGGCCAACCGATGACCATTATTTTCAATTATGCCGAATTTTTAAAGCAACGTTCCTTTTTGCCGAAACCAAAGTTGACCACACATATAACCGACTTTTGCTTTTACAAATAAATTATATAAAACTAATTATTATTTGGAAGCGATAAACAAAAGTTAAATAACATTTTATTTATTTCAAATTTTAAAAAATAAACGTTTTTGGGAACACATGATTATTAAATATTATTTTTTTAAATTATATTTTTTGATATTCAAAAAAATATAAATCTGTATGAACCAAAAACAATATAAATTTACCAAAAATATATTCTTTAAATGCAATCGTCTTTTAAATAAATGATGTGATTTATAAATTATTTTCAATAATCATTTTCATTAATATTATTTAAATTGAATATAACAATTGGTTTTACAACATTATTAAATACATAATCATTGTGCAGTCAATTAATTACAATGTTATAACAGTAAAAATGTATAATGACTATGATTTGTAACTTTTATTTCAAAAATATAAATTAAACGCTTATCAATTTAAAATATAACATTGTGTTTATTTTTTGTAACTGTTAACCACTTATATGTTTAAATCATTGTTCATTCTCAAAATAACGTTTCAATTAAAACATATGCAATGTGATCATAACTAATGAATAATAACTTGAAAATTTTATACTTTTTATAATTTGGGTTAAATTATCATGATTTACAATTCACACATATTGTTATAATCATGATTTTCAATTCATCTAATGTTACAATTGTTTGTTATGTTAAGAACTTCATTCTTTGAAATTACATGTATTTTATTTTTTGTACAATATATGAAACAATGTTTAACAGTCTTTAAACCAATTTACAAGTTTGTTTAAATATATTATCCCATTTATTGTTTATTTCCTGTTGTTGTTATTGAATATCATGATGTTGGTAATTTGCTTTTGAGAAAAAAAATCGATTGTCATTTTTACACATAATGAAAAAATGCCAAAAACAACAAGTTGTACATATTTTTCAATAAAATTTATTATTTTATTACCAAAATGAATATTTGTTATATTTTGCTCAAATAATTTTAATCCTTCATTCTATTTATTTGTTTTATTATTTATTAAAATAACGAACTTTTGAGCTGAAATATATAAATTAAAGCATTTCTTTATTTCGTTTGCACGTTTAATCTATATGACTAAATTTATTATTGTTTACTAGTTTAAGTAAAAAGAAAAGTAACAAGTCAAAATATGCTCAAATGGTTTAAAAATTTAATTTTGGGGTTAATTTTAGTGCGGTTGGCCAGTCCAATTAGAATCTAATAAATATAGAGTATTTGATACAACGTTGTTATTTACTCAAACCTTTTTTTGGTCTTATTTGAAGAAGGTTCGACTAAAAATGGAGTATCGGCAATTTTGTTTTTTGTTTACCTCGTTTTTTTTTGTAAACAAATCTCTTCTTCCATAAAAAAATAATTTCATAGCCTTTCAAATGTCTTTTTACACAAAAGCAAGAAATAGTCTTGCAAATAACCCATTTTTTGGAAAAAACAGTCCCAATCTTGAAGAAAAATAAACCAGAAAAATGAAAGGAGGAGGTGAACAAAAGCCATTTTACAACCAAAAACTCAAAAAAATAAATGAAACTACAAAAAGAAAATGATTCTTCCGCATGCATTTTCGAGACGATTTGTTTTTAATATGAGACAGGTAAATGTCTTTGGTGCTCTTTGTTCCCAGCAAGATATCAATGATATTGTTGAAAATCTCGAAGTTTTTCACAAAGATCTTCTCACCATGCACAAGAAGTTTAGAACAAATATAAATTGTGTTATTTATTATTACAACAACATACTCAACTATTTAATCACCGATATCGAGACATTGATCCGAACCTTTCAATGTGAATAAGACTCTCATGTGAAGATCTTTGAATAACTGGAAATGATGACTAAGAACGCGAAGAAGATATTGAACATCAATGAACATATGGTACAGTGCTTGCAATGTATATGAACTTTGTTTGTTCCAAGAGCTGGGTTCCAACAGATTATGTCGATTTTGGAACATGACAACACTCCAATTCCGGGAAGTGATAATCGACAGAATACTTCATGTCGAGGTACCAATGGAAACCATTGAATTTTATGTTGAATATTTGGTCGTCGCCAGTAATGAAGAAGTTATTAAAGACTTGACAATGAAAGACGTTGAACCCCATCAACAAGAAGTAAACACTGAAGACAGTTTCTCTGAATCATCAGTGGAAATGGCGGAAATCGGCGTGGAATTCAACAACAACAAGCATATTGTTGACAGAATTACCGACGATGAATTTTACTTCAATGGTCTTTATGGCTATCTTTTGGAAGCCGGGTTTGAAGACAAGTTTGTTGAAATCATAAACAACATCCTGAGATTACAAGAACTCGAAAGAAACAAAGAAGAGAAAATTGGAGAACTCAAGTGTTTAGATTTAGGGAATGCATGGGAGCCAAGTGTGGTATTTAGAATGTCAAATTTTTAAAAAGAGTAACTACATCCATACCTTCATATATCTGGTCGAGGTAGATGAAGAGAACCGAAGAAAGGTTGTGTTGTTCAGGGCGAAGAGGTGTATTTTCTGCAAACTAAAAAGACGCCATTGTCTACTACATCGAAGAAAATCAAGAATTAAGACTCCCTGTGACTTACACAGTTGATGGTGTTTATGGTCGGCGAGTTGGAAAGAGTCAATATCAGCGTCAGGGACTTGTATAACTTTGTCGAGAAAGAAGAACGTGTTCGTCTGCTCAAAGAAAGACCATAGAAACGCCTCGTGCCGATGTTCAAGAATCACAGATTAGGATGTACTTCGAAATATTGAAATCCAACTCGACTGGTATCCCGACTCCCTTTATCTTTAACTGCAATGAGTCAAGATTCCAGGAATGGGCCGAAAAATCTGACCAACATGCCATTGTCACGTCAAAAGATGGAACAGAAACAGTTATGTTGGCAGTGGATAGATCAGGGGTGAGGCTTAGCGTGTTAGTGACTGTCTGCATGGATGGGACAACATTCCCTTTGTATTTTATTGTCCCCACTTTGGGGTCGAGAGAGAACTCCTCGAAGTTGGGATAAAGAAACAAAGAACATCTCTGGGATTATTTTTTGTATTAAAACAAATAATCCCTTTTTATCGGAAATGAAAACAAACGAAAAATAAACAAGTCCAACATATTATTCCGTTAAATTTCAATAAATTAAATAATAATAAAAATTTGTTTGTTTTTAGATTGGTGGAGGTTCAAAGGAACTGTAAGAGGGTTTCAAACACTTAAACCCAGACATTGGTTGTTTCACTTCTCTCTTCGTACTTATCATACTCATCACAACGAACAAGTTTAATACAGTCAACTCATACTTTACTGTTCACCTCTCTCCTCTGTGTCAACTCAGTCATCATTTCCCATATTCCGCGACCTCAAATACACCGACTCAATTTTAATTCTGCCATATTCTCTTTCTTGTTGGTACTCGCAACTGCTCCTCTCTATTCTTCAGATCGTTCTTTTGCCGGTGTTTTGATGAAACGATCTGTTTCGACTTGGAAAATGAAAGATCTTGAATTTAAATGAATTTGAATTTTAAGTTGTTTTAAAATAAAAATTACAAATAACAAAAACATTTTAAAATAACAAAAAAAGTTTCTTGTTGCTAGAGTTTTTTGAGTTTATGGATTGCTATATTTATGAATCTTTGTAAATCAGAAGATTCTTGAATAAACAACGTTTGAGAAAATAACAACGTTGTATCAGGGACTCTGCAGTTATGGTAAAAACCAGTACAACTTAAGCAAAAATGGGGTTACTGAGTAAAAAGATTCTAAAAATAAAAGAATAACAGTATTTTCAAAAATGTTTTAAAAAATTAGAAATTATGTTATTTCTCTATTTTTTATTTATTATCAAAGAAGAATAAAAACCTAAAAGATAACAAAAAGCAATCCATTTACAATAAACACACAACATCGAAATAAGTCTCCTTACTTAAATCTTTTCATTTCTTTTTTTCTTTTAACTTCTTTGTTTTAATCAAGTCTTCCGTTTTTTCCACCGTTTTCTTTTCGACCACTTCCTCCAAGTTAAAGTGTCCATTGTGTCCATTTCCGCGCTTTTATCTCCAACATAGTTATTATCTTTGACTGTATTTTATACAGCCTTTCTGTTTGTAAATATTTGTCTTTCCATCTCAACTTTAATCAAAACAAACGATAATATAAAAACCACAATTAATTTTTTAGTTTGAACTGATAATAAACTGTTATTAATTCAGCCAAATTATGAAATGTTGGAAAAGTGGATAAAATTGGGTTTTGTTTATAAAAAGAAGCTTTTTAAACAATCGACCGTCTTCTGTGTTCACTTATTGAACCTTTTGTTTTAAAAATATAATTTAACTTTGTTTTCGTGTTGTTTTTGAAAGCCATTTTATGTTTTTTTTTACTAAAAAAAACTTTTAAATTGTCAAAAATGTCTAAAGTAAAAAATTAAAAAATCAAAACCAAACTCAATTAAATAATTAAAAATT